TAAAATCTTAAAAACCTTATCCATAACGCTAAAAGCTCATTCCTTCTTACTAATGTTCCTTTATGTCTGCAACTCCTCCTAATTCCGCCAAAACTGCATCGGGTACATAATGCACCACGACAAAAGCTAAGCCGCATTAACTTGAAATATTACTTTTTTAATCATAATGTCTCATTCAGACTCACCCTGACTTTTTCCAAGCCACCTCAACCCCAGTGACATACCAAACATTACATTTTTTTCCTACACCACTCAAAAAAAATCAACAAATTGCAATTTGAACATTAACGCCCCCAATCACTAAGCTTGCGGATCTTGCCTCACTTACGCTTCGCTCGGTAAACTTTATTGCAAACAAACCAAGATAACAGCACCGGAAAACGTAAACCTAGGTTTAAAACCTTATTCATCTTTAGCCGCAAACTCTAATAACTAATACTGGTGACAAACCAATATTGCTAATGAAGACTTTGTTCACAAATTATAGAAATAAACCTGCCTAGGCCATTAAGGCATTAAATTGACTATTGTTAAAAAAATGTGAAAAACAAGACAAAAAACATAATTTTTGATAAGTAAATATTACATGTTATTAATACAATTTCAAAGACATAAAAATGAAGGAAAGGAAACGTGTAAAATCTGTGTTAAATGTCGGGAGCAGCGTAGAACTGTGAAGATTTTTTCGTTTTGCGAGCGGTACATAGCGATGCAAATTACAGTATGATGTTCGATTCTATTACAGCATGATAATTGCAGCTTCGGTTTGGATTACGTGAATTACGTAATAATATTTGTTGGGAAAAGCATCAGTAATCCGGCAACATGTTGATATTTTGATCGTCGAGAGAATGCCGTGTTAAAATTAATAAATCATTGTGGCCATCTATGCGATTTTTCACAATTACTGGTCGGATGCAAACGCGAAAATGAGTTTATTTGTGGTAAAAGTGACCGATTGCATCTGGATTTTTTTCTAGTAGTGTATACGCCGCTACTAGCTGGAAACCAATCTATCTATTCAAGATTAATTTGATATCAATGTGCTGCAAGGAATTCGCCTTTCACAACACCTATAATCGGCGTCTTAAGAAAACGCCTCAAAAATCGATTCTCGGTCAGATATGCACGTTTAAGTTATGCCAAGTCATTTGAAAGATGATATTAGTATACATTCAAATCACTGAAGGAGAAATCAATGATAAAATTTCACCATTTTCCCGGTCTTGCTTTGTTAGATGCGATATGACATTACGTACTAAATCGAAACACAATAAATTTAAGCGATTTTCAAATTTTAGTCATAGTTTCTTTCTTCATGTATATGCAAAATATATAAAAAGTCGACAGATGTTACACCACTATTAAAAAGGAAATAAATCTGCATTAAATTTTCCACTACTTCACTAAATTAAGCTTCAGCAAGCTATCGACAGTGCGACAGTTGGTAAATGGGTTTCTTACACAAAAGTACATATAGAAACTTATAATTTGATATTTATGGCTCGTAGTACAACAATGGCCGGAGTTCAAAATCTCCGGAATTAATTCCTACAATCGGTGAGTCTTTCATTTAAATTCGCCGCTCTTCATTATTAAACAACAAATTTCATCGACCAAACACAAAACAACCCATTTTAAAACATATGTCTTAACATCATCAATGCACCGGTTATCTCACTTCGTTAAACATATTTTCTGTAAAATCATTTTTAGTGTTATTACAAACAAAATTTCAAATAAATTCATCCTAAACTGTATTTGTATAAACAAAAGTTACCTATCTATTTGTAAAATTAATTTAATATTTAAAGCTGCTAAAAATCCATTTCAAAACATTTATTATTGGTATAAATAAAAGTACTAACAAATTAATGGTAAAAATTGAGTTACGAGTTCTTGCTTCAAATAGTTAAAAACTAATCGTCTAAGCAAACAAATAAATAGCAACGTAGTTTCCCTTTTTCAGTAGAAATTTATCAGAGCGAGACAGTTTTCGATAATACAATCTTCGCCGATTCTGGCGTTCGATACTCGGCACCTCTAGTGATTCGAGCTTTAAACCGTCTTTTCTTAGCGGATTTCATTATCTCGGGTTACATTAATTTGATTTCACTTAAAGGTAAATCCAACAGTGGACAGACCACAAAAATTGTCTGGATGCAAGTTGAAATTATTAGAATTTCACCAGTGACAATGTAAGTAACTGATTTATTAATATCTTGTTGTGTAATAGCTCTTTTCCGGTACTAATAACACCAGTACTCGACGACCGTGATTTATAATCTGTAGTCAAGTGAAACCAATAAAAATGCACTGAGAAGAATTTCAATGTGTAACAATTTGTTATTTTAATTTATTTATTTATTTTTATTGAAGTATTCCGCTGAAATGAAAAAACAGGACAAAAATTCGAGTTGCCTTAATTAACGTTTATTTAATACAAAAACAACTTATTAGAGTTGTTCAAACCTACGCACTTGAGATGAAAGCAACTTATTGTCAACTCTGGAAGCAATTCTTGTAGTAAAATCGTTAAGATTTCAGTAGAACGTTGTTAATGCTGAATTATTAATACCGACAACTTCTTAGTGACCCAAGAAATATTTCGGAAAAAAATTGGACCAGATAGAAATCGAGATTAAATCAAGAACGTGATTCACTAAACTGGCATTTACCATTCTATTTTTATTATTGTTCGAATAAGTTATTAAAAATATTTAGACCCACACACTGAATATGAAAAGACGTTATTGTTCGTTTTCGTAATCCCATCAATAGATTTATTGTTAGTAGCAATTTATTAAAATTGGCAAATTGTGAAATAAGCGCCTAGTACCGTACCACAATCTAAAAAATTAGCTAATTTTTCGTGACCTTACGAAACAATTGTTCTTATACAAGAGCTAAAGACGTCGTTACTGCTGATTTATTATAACTGACAAGTTGTGCAACGATGCTGTCGAATGACCATGATCCATAAATACAGGGTGTTTCAAGAACAAAGTTCAAAAGGGGCAATTGCCACCGTGGGGAATTATCAAACGTCCTGAAAATACGTTTACGAGAAACCGACCACCAGAGGCACAAAACCGACGTTCCTAAATAATAAAAAAATAATTTGTGATTTTTAAACATATTTATTCGGTGGTCGCGTCCTGTTTTTCACCCCAATGATGCCGTTTTTTTGGGACACTCCGCATAGGTAGAATTCCGACCGTTTTGTGGTCGCTGTGCCGGCTTCGCGATTTCCATCATGTGAAGAGGTCGGTCTGCGTTGCTTTTAATTTCGGTAGGAGGATTCTCTCCTGGAATAATTTATAAAAGTGCATTTAACAGTAGTAATAATTGAGAATGTTCTCGGATGTCTGCTCGGTTATTTATATGTGCATGTCGGCATTCTATTTTTGTAATGAAAGACGCGGGTAGGCCCTAACCGTATTTAATGCTAATTACATCAAACAAAACACAGTCACATGCACATTATTGCAACTTTCGATAAATTTTCATTATTGCATTTTAATATTAGTAAAAGTTTTTTTTTTTATATAAACTCTCCAAGCAATAATATTAATATACAAAATATGTACTAAGTATTCCAAAAACGTGCTGATAAAATCGTGCTATTAATAATCTTTTGTTTAAAAAAATATAATATGATCAAATTGTTTAGATTTTTTGATTAAAAGTAGCTTTGTTGCTTGTATAAAACATAGTGTAATATAATTTTTCTATGGTTTTCCCCGAGGTTTGGTTTGTTGTTTCGTCAAAATTCGCAACAAATACCTAGTGGCTGCCGTCTGTACCAAAAATTTTCAAATTTACTATTTTTAGAGAGCAATTAGAGCGCCTTGATCGGAAAGATATAAATAATGGTCTTATTTCCTATTTCAATCATACTTATTTGGAGTAAACAGTGAGTTCGCGTTCCCCCATAGGGAGTTTTTTAATTGGTGTATAAATAAGAAAGCAAACACACTTTTTCAACCCCTTGTTACTGTTTATTTTATGATCCACCGGCTTCGACTTATACGGGGTAATGTTAGTCATTTTTCCTAATTTGCGATTTAAAATAATCATTTTTTGCTTTTGATTTTGAACTGTTATTGGGAGCCCACGGTGCATCGCGAGCCGTGTTGCCACATCGAGTTGATCTCAACCACGTCTGCAACATTCTATGTAGATTCAAGCTTGATAGGACATGTTTCTACTTTGAAACTTTCAAATTATTGCCTTGATTAAATTAAAAATACCTTAATTCAGCTCATCATATAATTAGTAGTGGAGTAAATGAAAAAATTTCCAGTCCGATACATTTTTTTGGATAATTAGTATGTTAAGAAAACCTAAAATTAAGAAAATAAAAGAAATTAAATAAAAAATTTGAGCCATGCCATGCCTCATATTTATGGCCTCTTCGAATTGGTGGGTGAAAATAAAAAAATATAGAAATAAATGTGACTGTCATTGGTTCTAATGCGAGTTGAAGAAATATCATGTCCCGCAATATTTAATGTTAATTATATGATGTTATGAGCTTTCTCGGATACAAACAAAAGGGACCACCAACATCTAAAAGATTCGAACACGTTCATTAAATTGCCCAACCACTAGAAATAATGACATACAAGTTTCATTAGAGATTTGAACATATTTTTTTACAATAGAGTCGTTGTTTTTGAAGAGAGAAAGCTTAAAAGTTCAACAATAGATGAGTAGTAAACGATTTGTGTAATTTGAAAAAGTGCTCCTATAGGACAAAAGCTTCAAATTGAAAGAAAAGAATTTCGCTGCAAGGTAGGTAAGACATCCGACGGCAGCCATTTTACCGCTTTGATGACGAGATTAAAAGAAGTTTCCCCATTATTTAAAACAGGAAAACTTTGACTTGGTTATTTTACAATAAATTTTCTTTGATTCACGTTGATAACACTGTCAACTTTTCCCCGGATTAAGTTATCCGTCAGGTGTGAAGCCGGCAAGGTATAATGTAAACATACCTTTAATGTACTCCTCAGCAACTTATCACACAAACACTTTCATGTACATATTGTATATAATCACAAGGCACAGCATAAAACACAGAAACGCACTGAAACCACTCTCTAAAAGTATTCATTTAAAAACTTTACTATAAATTGAAGTTCCATTTGCAACTCCTCGGAAAATAATCCATTACTAGGACCCCCAATTAAAGCCAGCCCTGCGAAGCACCATGACAAACTTTGAAATAGTTTGCGCAAACTATACAACCACTCAACTAGAGCCACTAAAATAAAACTAGGAAAAGCGCCGACTGAAGAGCTTTTTTCTAATCGAACACGTCGCTACTACTGATTTAAAAGCTTGTTTCTGTCAGAAAATGCGAACGAATTGCATTTCAACCACTGTCTGAGCTAAATAATTCTAAAGCTGCGTTGAAATTTGAAATGTGGCAAGCCTGACGACCTTACATGAAACTGCTACGGCGGCAAGAACTCAACTAAAACTACATCTCACAAATCGGATTCTCTCAACGAAAACCGCCGAACTGCGCACGAATACTACGTCACAACTTCGAACAGGGGAACCGGGAAATTCATACTTTGTTAACCAACCCATAAAAATAATGACACCATATCTAAATTTATATTTGCCAAATCTCAAATGTTATTATATTCATGTTGACGCACATTGTTTCGGATAAGTACCGCAAAATGACAATCACACCATTTGTTTGCATCGTTATCATTAATTGGCGACTGAATTGTAAAAACCGATTCGGTCAACAACGAAAACAGACGCTATTTGCAGTTAACATTGAACGCGTTTACCCACAAAACTTTTAAACTTTGTTCCTGGATCTTCCACAACCAAATAATCCTGTACAAAAATTCGCTATAAATGAATACACAACAAACGTGTTTGACTAGGAACATGAATTATTATCTTAAAAATCATACCTATCAATGAGTGTATTTAGAAAGATGCACGGTCACTGATCCAAAACAAATGAGAAATCAATTAATAAATAAAGTAAAAATATTTAAACAATTGTATAAGAAACCATTCTCAAAACACAAAAAACTTATACTTCTATTTCATGTGGACAAGTTAGGTATTAATTTAACGTCTTTCACATCTTTTGTCTACTTAACTACATATTAAAAAAAACGGTAATTTTATGATTATTATTCTTTAAGAAGTATTGAATAAAAAAATGGAGGGCTTTTCGGACAAACCCGCACTGCTTTCCTTTGTCTGCAATGAAATTAAATGCGTTTACTTTTGTAATTTATGTGGGGGAATCCCTTGCAGGCGATAGTTTTCCGTACGTAAAGTAGCAAGTGTAGTTAGCATCGAGAGAGCCATTTGAAGTAGTCGACTAGAGGGACAATTAGACAACGGTATCCTATACGTTATCGTAATCGAGTTAGGGGCACTAATTCGAACTTGTGAATGTGCTGTTAGCAATTGCGAAGTAGTTTTTAACTTATAAATGCGATTTTATTAATGCAGCAAATGTCGCTGTTGACTCATAACTTCGTTTACTGAGGTTCATCTTTTTTAATTAGAATTATTTTAACTGTTGAAATATTTAAATTATTATTTAATAGGTAAAGAAAAAGAAACTTGACATAGTGGGCGATTTAATTTTATTATCATTTAATAGACGGATATTTCAATTGAATAAATAACCTCAGAATTGATTATTTCTTTCGCCAGTTCAAAAAGTAATAACTTAATAACAAACGTAATTAAGATCTTTTTTTTCTTTTGAATATTAATTGAAATAAAACCACAACACAAAATGTAATATACACATATGTGGCTGATTGACATTTATCTATTTATTAAAATCATATTCAAATTTTCTGTTTATGTATTTATGACCTAAATTTTATAATGCTTTTAGTAACTGAGAGTGCTTTTTGTCAATATTTCTTCTTTGTTTAAAATTTTTCAGTTCATAGAAATCAATATTTGCTAGAGATGACACAATGAAATTATCTTATCGTTCACAGCTGTGATAACGCAGAACTTACAAAAAATTGTTTTTCAGAATTAGTCCTACCAGTGTATTAGCAAGAAAAAGTTTGAATCCTGCAATATTTTTATCATTTTTCACTCTTGTCTCACTGCTTTTCAAACAATTTCGTTAGTCAACTTCATTCATTTGTTATTTTGCACCGATTTGCCGACAATCGAAATTGCCATTCACGAAATAGCCAATCACGTAATGAATCAATTAATACGAATTAATAGAGAAAAGAAAGTATTGCGAATGACTGTAATTTAAGCGCCGCCAGAAATAAAAGCTCGTAACATATGTGTGTGTGTGTGTGTGGTGTGTGGTGTGTGTGTGTGTGTGTGTGTGTGATGGTTGAGTTGAGAGAGAGACTTTTCGGGGTTTAGCGATACTTTGGGGCAGCTGAATGTGTAAAGTAATCTTTTACATGGTCATGGAGGTCTTTTCAACGTAGACAGGTGGCGGAATTCGAGAACTGCACCTAATTATTATAATAAAGTCGCGGCTGTTTCTTAATGACAGTGGCCAGGAGTGGGCATGCGCATAATCATAGAAATTTCAAACATGCTAAATAATTAACATCGATTGCGATTTTTCGAATTTGTTGATTTTTCAATGCAACAATTACCGGATTCGACGTGCTACAGGCTGCTATCTGACAACAAATTGAATTGTGTCTGCATTTTTTATTAGCAGCAATACCAGCAAAAATTAATTATTCTACGCGGCATTCTATTGAAATGAGGTGACAAAGTTGGTAGTTTGCAACGTCTGCGTCAATAGAATTAAATATTTTAAAAATATATAGTTATGTCAAGTTACATAGAAACGATGGCTTTGATTGGTTGTTGCTATGCGACCTGACGGCATTATGTCTAAATTATATTCAAGGCAGGTAATGGCAAAGTATTAAATGCATCCATTTATTTTATTTTTAGTAAAATCTACATTATTTTAATTTTCAATTTTATAATCGAATTTAAAACAGAAAATAAGTTTAACTGCAATCATGCTGTCTGTTTATATTTGAAATAATCTACATAGTTTAGTGCCAGTTAAATACAAAATAAATTTGTGTTTTTTTATTCCTGATTGGTAATTATCTTTAAAATATTTTTTCTCGCCCGTCACGAATATTACATTAAATTAACTCAAATTGGTTAAATTGAAAGTTAGGAAAAAAATGCTAATAATCGATTTAGCAATCCTATTTTTGCTTCAGTTAATTATAATGTAATCATTTAATTAATAATCTAGAATCACACTATTAGAAGAAACCACAGGCTTTTAATTAGTTTGCTACTAGGTACATTCCATGCAAAATTTTTTACTTAGTTTTGAACACACATTAATTGTAAGTATAAATAAATTTTTCTGTAGAGCTATTAACATAAATTGCTGTTTTAATGTTTATAACTGCCACTTTAATTCTATGCAATTAATGATTATTAATAAACGATATATCGTTTCCAATTCCTACTTTCTGAGTGAAATGTTTGAGGCAATGTCGCAACAAATGTTGATCAAAAATCTCGAATAAAATTGTAGTAAAACGCTACTTATATAACATAATTACTGACGGATTTGCATTCTTTGTTAAGTTTTTTGCCAATTGGAAAGAAAATTGCTGCTCTACAAATGAACGTTTATCACGAAATGCCTAAAATAAAATCTAATTCTACAATAAATTTGCATGTTTCACAACTATTCTAACGCGAGTTAATTCCAAAGGGAGCAAGCAATAGGACAGTTCTCGGTAAAAATTCCCTACGTGTCCTAATTAATATAAATTCATTTTTAAATAATGGTTCGAAAACTGTTTATTATAATAACTTAATTTTAAAGCAATTTCGTTTAATGTCCCTCAAGGCTCTATTTAAAGACCGCCTCTATCTCAATTTATAATTAAATAATAATTCCGGACTACTTGGATTTTTTTTATTATTACCAATAATAAAACTGTTGGCCTTTTCGATTAGTTGCCGATCGGTAAACAGAACTGTTTCGAAATCGTTGGCTTAATTTCTACTAAGCAAGCAATCAAACTGTGCCTTCCTAGTAAACTTTAATCTAAGCTTTGAGATAATCTACGGGTAAAGCAGGTTCCGTTACTGGCCGTTTCAGGCATAAATTATACTCCCTAAGACGTTGTTTAATGGTTTCATTAATGTTATGAGTTTCCAATAACAGAAGTTTTTTTCGCCGACGAAAACTGCCGACTCGTCTTCATCTATGTCTCAACTTCTGGTTTATTTTCTTTTGCTTCCTGTTCTTTGTCGCAAATACGGGCTTGGCGATATTTAAACACCACCAAAACTTTTCTTAATTGCCTTAAGCACCAAAATGAATGTGTTTACAAAGTAAAAATTCAATTGCATTTTTTCCGTGTTTTCCGTGTTATCCTCCATCTTATACATTCCTACAGCCTCCGGTTATCCTACGCATTTAGGTCTTTAATTCTGTTTTGATCAATGCTGGATCAGTGATAAGACAAACAGTCATTTATCACAAATTCCGATCTAAATGTTGAAATAAATAAAAGCGGATAAGTTGTAGGTATAACTAATTGTTTTTACAGGTTTTTCTTGATAAAAAAATCGTTTAAGCACTTGAAAATAATATATTTCATCTAAAGTCGGATCCACTCACTGATAACACAATCAAAAAACCAGAAGTGTCGGTTTAATAGGCAATTATGTAGTTCCAAGTTTCTTAATTGCAGGAAGTCGTGTTGCTACTTTCCAGGAACAGGTTTCCAATAATTTTTCTGATCGCAGAATTGTTATTTTATTATTATATGAGATTCAAATCATTTTAAAATATTTAAGTTGGTTGAAGTTAAGCTTGACTACCTAACAGAATAAATCTCCCCAGAACACAATGATGTCACACACAGGATAATCGTGCTAACACTGAGTGTTTAGATATGCGGTGATGTTGATTTTTATGGTTTCGGTGTTTAGCTTTGTAGTTATCTACTAATGTTTATCTTTATTAAACCATATTTACACAACATTCGACCAAAATCAAATAAATACATCTAAATCAAATTTTTATTCTTTATTTATGTTCATATTTTCACTTATTTACTTATATAGCGATAGTTTACTTGATTTATATAGTACAAACTTATTTAACTGTTGAAAGACCAGACCAGACCATTACATAAAAGCTACGACATAAAACGGAAACCTTGAGTCCGATTAATTCTAGACACGGTTGTTTAGACTGTAATAAACTTGTATAAATGAGAATTTGTGGGGTTTTATAGAAAACAAAAATGTTTGCCAAATTAATCTAGAATGTAATATACGTTATTAAATATTTCCATGCAATAACAAGAAAACAATTTATTACAACTAATTGCATTTTTTCTATTTTTTTTATAGACGTGAACAGTTTTACGACGTTTTTACAAGAACAAGATGGCCGCATTTCGCGAAAGTTGTAAAACTAATAAAAT